CTGGTGTTCTCTTCTTGATTTTGATTTCTTTATATTTGAGCTGTTCTCTGTTTTCTGAAATTTTGATGTGGTTTTATGGGTTAGTGCCAAGGCACGGCACTAACACGCTGGATCGCTGTGCTTGATGTACAACGGCGACGGCCTGTCCGGAGTGCTTAGTGTCGTGCTCGGGCGGTAGGTCGAAAGACGGCGGCACTACACGGCACGGCACGGCAAGGCTACCGTGCCTGACCGTGCCGTGTCTGGTCGTGCCGTGCCCAGCCGTGCTCGTGCCGTGTAATGCCCGTGCGGCCTGTTTGGAAATCTTTAGGGACAGGAGCAGCTGGTCGACGCCAGGGTCGCCAATAGCCAATGGCTACCGTCAAACCTTCAACCCAAGCCCTCCAGGGGCGCAGGAGTGACAGTGACGAGTGACCCCCTCCGGCTCTCCCGCGCGTAGGTACCGATGCTCGGTGAATGCATCCTTCTCAAGGATGGACAAGGCTTCGGTTGATGATGATAATTCTATTATTTTCTAATTCATGTCATGTCACACATAATTATAATTGAGCAGTATTTTAATACTACTATAATCATACCAATTTTATTTTTATACTGTAAAAACACTACTAGAAAATAGACCTTTCACCCACCTCGATTTTAGTCTTTAGTCTCGATATTTTTTGCGTTCGGGACTAAAGGACTTTTAGTTCTGGTTCGTAATACCAACTGAGACTAAAAGTCATCTTTAGTCTCGATTGGTGTCACCAACCCGGAGTAAAAGTTCACCAACTTTTAGTCCCGGTTGGTGACCTTTTAGTCCCGGTTGGTATCTTCAACCGGAACTAAAGGTCTTTTACCCAGGATTAAAGGTCCCCCACGAGTCTATTCAAAAGGAGAGCGCACATGACTCTGTCACAAGTGGTGTGCAGTTGAGTTGGTAATGTACCTACGCGCGAGGAGAGAGGTGTTGGGTTCGAATCTCACGTAAAGCAAGCGAGGCCTCAAGGATTTCCTTTATTTTTTTCTTCCGTGGATGACCTTTAGTCCCGGTTCTCAGACAGTCCCGAGAATTTAGTCCCGGTTGGAAAAACCGCGGGACTAAAGGTAGGTGTGGACCTTTAGTCCCGGTTAGAAAAACCGGGACTAAAGGGCCTTTCCAACCGGGACTAAAACCCGTTTCTCTAGTAGTGAAAGTATATAGAGAGTAACTGTTGGTTAAAGACGTGTCCTAATGAAATGAGATGCCAGAGTGCTACTAATAATGAGCATTGGCCTATCAGCTTAAAGTTGATAATATGGATCTCACTGTTGCCGTGTAGAGTATAAAATGGATCTCACTAGGGAAAAACCGGGCAATTGGCGAACCTAGTCCAAATTTAGCTGGGACAGACCACGAACTTTGGTGGCAAACTTATAAACCAAATACTAGTGTGTTTCTAACTTTGTAAAATATAATTCAGAATAATAGCCACGGTCATTGTAGTAGCCCTTGCAAACAATTCGTTGTATGATCGTATCAAAACTTGGCACTAAAAGACAGAAAGTGTGCCACAGGCCGCACCCACATTCCGGGCCTTCCGGCCCTCTTCGTGGTCATGGGCTTATGGGCTTTGACTGTTCTCCATGGGCCATCAGCGAGCAGCGAGTACATCAGCAATCACGATTTCCTTTCCGTTGGATTGTTTATCCATCCTGCGTTTCTTTACAAAAGCCCGGCAAAGTTGCCAAGCAGGCCCACCCCACTCATAGCAACCTTTTTCTAGCCTTTTGCTTTCCTTCTGATTTCTCAACATGTGCCTCTTGCTTTTTTGGTCGCGATGTCTTGGATTTCTATCCCTCCATTTCTTTCCTTTTGCAATACGTATATTATTAGGCAAAAAGACTTCTCCCTCTTCCGTATACAATTTAAACGCAAACGCTGACATACCATATATACTTTGTATATATGGTCACACATGAGAGAGACCGGGCCAGCATATGCATATATATCTTCGAAGTTTCAAACAACACATGCATCACACGCATGTATCTTCGCTGTCAATAATGGCCATATTATCTACCATTAAAAAAATAATACCCAACCTGTAATTAGTTAAAAATGTAAGCATCCGTGTTGAGTAGGAGATTGGATGACATGTTTCACCACAAGTGCATACATAGCTGACCTAACAATAATGGACAGTCTTTTTTTTTCCTGCTGTGGATTTCCACGGGTGCCGTGCTTATTGGGCTACCTATCCCATAGCCATACCTATCCCGGGTCACTATCACTGGGAAAAGGGCGACGTTAATCATTGGAAGCTTGGAATGAAGCCATAGGCCTTGTTTAGATCATCTCCAAATTTTAAGTTTTTTCACTCTCTCTTCATCACATTAATTTTTAAACGCATGTATGGAGCATTAAATGTAGGTAAAAAAATAACTAATTACACAGTTTGGTTGTAAATCACGAGACAAATCTTTTGAGCCTAGTTAGTCCATGATCGAACAAAGTTTGTCAAATACAAACGAAACGTGCTACAGTATCCAGATTGTAAAAATTTATAATCTAAACAAGGCCATACATAGATTCGCCCCCACCGTGACTGGTGTCGTTGCATGAATTTCTCAAGCAAAGTTGTACTCCCTCCGTGGAGTACAAGTGCATGGTTTTACGTGCTGATTGCGTGATATACCCTGCTATACGCACGATTTATAGGGGTGGCTCATAACCTTTTGTAGGGGCGGTTTTACCAGCCGTCTCCTACCACAGCGTTGCTACAAAATCGAGTATTTGTAGGGGCGGTTGGTCAGCCGCCCCTACAAATCGGATTTGTAGGAACGGCTGCTGATTGGTAGGGGTGGTTGGATATAGAGCCGCCCCTACAAATTTATTTTCTAGAAATTACGAAATTGGATTTGTAGGAGCGACTGGGTCATTTGTAGGGGCGGCTCCTACAAATGGATTTGTAAGGACGGCTTGTTTGGGAATTATTTGTAGGAGCGGCTCAATATAGAGTCTTTCCTAAAAAAAAGGAGGCGTTGCTAAAAAATCCTTTCTGTAGTAGTGATATATTCGAGATATGGCATGATGATCAAGTAAAATTGCTGGAAAGTCAAGAGCGTATTTAGTCCTATTTGTGTAAGATATGGTAACGCTGAAGAAAATTTGTATCATTAAATAGAGTTGATCCTAATCCTGATGACCTTAATGAAGTTTTCGGCTAGCAGCCTGTTTGCTTGGTCGTATTTGGCTTATAAGCCATGGCTTATCAGCCAATGAACAATATTTTTCTTTCACATCAAACCAGCCAACAGTACTTTCAGCCATGGCTTATAAGCCAAACCAGCCCAAACGAACAGGGCGTAGATCCACCCCTTGAAGAATTAGTGTTTGGAGGTTATATTATAAGTAAAATCATTACTCCCTTTGTTCTATAACATAGCACATACAAACATTCAACAATTGTACCTAAATATAAGGGGTTCCAAGGATAGAAAATAGTATTGTATTAAATATTTGCCATTTATCAACCAATCATCATTAATCATGCGATGGTAGCGAATGATTAGAAAATAAAGTTAGAGTCATGCTTATTTAAAATTACCTCTTAATTTGTCCTAAAATTTATAGAATACGTTGTACTACAGGACAGTGGGAGTACAAGCTGATGCATATACAAGTTAATAATATGAGAAATAGGAGGTAGTTTATTACGATATGAACCATTAAAGTTGCATCAAATCATCATACCACTGAGAGAAGATGCATTAACTTCATACCAGAACTATTTTCACGTGCAAAATGATTTCCTAATTCATTCAATCAATAGTTTAATATATACCAGTTGGTTTTCCTCTTCAATGTGTTATGCTGCGAGTGGCCGCGTGTTTTGGGAAGAGCGTGGTTATTCTTCTTTTTTGAACCGCGCTAACATGCTCTCACCTCTAGCCTCCACCGTTGGCCCCGGCTAGAGTTTTCCCCGTCGCCAGCGACGCGCCCACTGTCCGCCCCCTGTCGCTCCATCTGGCCCACCCCTAACTGTAACAGGAGGAGAAGAGCTCGAGCATCTCGCCCCGGCGCCACTCCGGCCATCGGGTTGTCTCCAGTCGCCTGTTCACAGCACCCCCATCGTCTCACTCACCGCCCCTTAACCCGCCACCACTATTGGTCTGGCCGCATCCCAAGGCCCCCTCTCCTTTCTAAGACGGCCGGGACATAGAGGTCCCAATCAGAGGAAAGAAGACGACGCGGTGGGTCGCGTGCTCGTGCTTCTGAGGGACGTGCCACGTGATTGAGAGCCCGTTTGGCCGGGCTCCGAGCGGCTCCGGCTCCTCTGACTCCTCCCCTGTTCATCTCCTGTAGCGACACTGTTCACCAGAGCCGTTTTTCTCTCTCCTCCTTTCCTCTCTCACTGACAGCCTCGGAGTCGGAGAAGCTCATTTTTTTGCTCCTCCGGCTCCAGCTCCTACGCACTACAGTTACGCTACAGTGTGGGAGCCAGAGCCGGCGGGAGCCCGGCCAAACGCGCCCTGAGTTTGCGTTTTCCTTTCCATAAAAAACTGCAGCAGTGTCCATAAGGAAGTAGACACTTGGAAGCCGAACACGCTGACGTGTAATCGGTGCAACGGCCTCCACCAAACGTCCAAACCCACCAAGTCACAAACTCCGCGGCCCTTTTGCCCCGTCACCGTTACAGTCACCGCACCCACCGTACAGGGGGTAGGCTCACCTCCTCAACCTCCGCCTCCCCGCCTGGGACTGCGAGCAACACAACACAGCGCGAAGAGGAGGCAACCAACCCCTTTACCGGACGGTGCCCGCACACCCCCCACGAATCCCACTTCCTCCTCCTCCCGGTCCTGGCGATATCCATCAGAGAGAGACGAAGCAGAGAAGGCGAAGCAAGCGAAAGCCACGACCGCCGCGAAAGCGAAAGGCGGAGGAGCAGAAGGAGATGAGACGAGACCACTAGACTAAAGCAAAGCCGCGGACACTAGAGGGAGACACGCACAGAGAAGGCGCGTGGGGCGGCCGGATGGCGAGGCAGGGCGGCACCGGCGGTGAGATCACGGCGGCTTTCTCAGGCGACGGTGGCATTGCCGGGGCGTCCACGGCCAGGACGACGCCGGTGGCGAGCCCGTACCAGGTGACGGACGCGCTCCATCTTCTCCCCTCCCCTCCTCTTCTTCCTCTGCGGCTCTGTCTGTGTGCAACTGAAACTGACGGTAATCGCTTCCTTTCTGTTTCCAAACTGACGGTGGAAACTGAAACTGACGCGGTGAAGTGAAACAGAAATTCGCCACTCAAGTGGTTGGGGGATTGGGTGGCATGTTCGAGATTGCGACGATGCGAGCCCGTGGCTTCGTTGGGCTTCAACGTATTTACAATTTTGGGTCCAATCGAATCATTTTGTGACAGCCGCACTGTACGGTAGCGCAGAGACGGCGAGCAGTTTGGCGTTTGGGTAGAAATTTTGAAACCACCAGGTAGGATTGCGGTTATTTAAGCCTTTAATAAGGGTGCATGGTTGTTGAGTGACCGTGCAGTAGCGCACAGGTATAGTAGCTGGTAATTCAGTGCTTGTAGTGCAATTATGGGAGCATAAGATACCTCAGTTGAAGTTGAAATACTGCTGCAGTGCTGCAAGCCGTTTTAATGCTGATTGTCATCACCAAGCTAGTTCAGTAATGGAAGGATATAGATGGTAGTGCAATTGTGGAAACATGGGAGACTCCAAGGTAATTGAAGTCAATCAGTATGTAGTAATGGCATCTAAAAATGCATGTTAGTTTTGATTGTTATTGTTCCCGTTATGCCCTTTGCCAATACTATTGCTTAATCGGTCATCATGGCCATTGCGTGTGTATGCCTTGTTACTGTGATAGAATTGCTTATCCTCATAATGTGCAATGACTCGTGTTACTTGCTAATCTACCTTCAAATTGCAGCCTAAGCGGCTAAATGTATTTTGACCTAACAAACAGTGATTTACCATCCCAGTCTAGTTAGCTTAACGGACCTATAGAAGCTTCAATGTACAACAAATTAAAAATACCATCCTAGCAATTTCAGTTGTGTTCATTTTGGAAGGAATTAGTAATTGTTGCTTATGTTTTTAAAAGAATATTGTATGACTGTATTTTAAGGGGAAATCTCGTGGACATTATATTGATAGAATGGAAAATTCCCCCCTAGGCATTACTCCAATATTAAGCCTTCGTTTAGGTTCATTGCTTTTTCCAAAGCAGGTAAACTGATGACAATGCTTGCCTTCAGGTGAAATTAGTTAATTTTCTGTTTATCCGATTTGCAATAAGACTAAATTTGCCCCCCTCCCCCTCCCTCAATATTCTTCTCATTAAGCACTATCTTCTGCTCTGCACTAGCATACACATGTATGACATCGCTCGATTTTTTTATATACCTTGTGGGTATTGAGAAGTCATTGCTTTAGGCATGAGTTTTCTCTTTCATAGTTCACATCCAATTATTATATTTGCATTATGGCTTTAAGCACAGTATAATGCTGATAGTAACACTCTTATATGTCTTAAATTGAACAAAAGCTAACAACTAATGATGTAGATGTGAGTTACTGAGTTTGCTTAGTTTTTTAAAGGACTCAGAATTCTATCGCTTTGCCTATTGACTCGAGCTTGTCAGAAATGAAAGAGCACATTTCCTGTTACTGATTTTTCGTGTTTCTGATTGAACCGGCTTCACTTTACTAACATTCCAAATCTTCCTCAGGCGGCTGTTGAAATTGAAGAGCAAATTTATTCTCCAGCATTTGGCAACATTGAGGTCCAGGATAGTCGTGGTTGCTGCAGTGGTTTCACAGGCAGTGTAACAAAGTTGCTGTTCATCTTTCATCTGCTTGCTTTCATTGCCCTCACAGCATTCCTAGGCGTCCAGGCCTCTTCCCACCAGAACCCTGCCTACAAGCCCTTCTCCAACTTCATCCCTCTAGTATCCTCTGTCATAGTATCCACAATTGCTGCCTGCTTCTGGGTTATCCTTGCTGTCACAAACCCTCCAAAAGCCATCAAGACCTCTCTCTGGGCTGCCCCTGTTTCTGCACTTGCTTGTGATGTAGTCATACTTCTAGTCGGCAATACTGCTGCACTTGGTATAGGAGCTCTTGTAGTTGTATTTGCAATTGCGGCAGGATTATACAGTTGTTGGGCCACTGGCCCACGTCTTAAGCATGCCTCTGATATGCTTTCCGTTTCTGTCATCAGAGCACATTTACCGCTTACTACTTCATGCCTTGCTGTCTATGTCCTTCTTGCAACGTTTGGGTATATGGCCTTCTGGACAGTTGCCATCAGCTGCATTGCTGCCGCAGAAGGGCACTTCATGAACTACAGGATGGCTTATGTGGCAGCACTTCTAGTGAGCATGGCATGGACCATGCAGGTACTGCGCTACATTGTCTATGTGGCAGTGGCAAAACTGGCACATGGACGTCTCATCTATGGGATTCGCATCCCGGGTGGTGCTTTGGAAGCATTCTGTGGCACGATATTTGGCCCAGCCTTTGGGGACATATGCATGGGTGCAATGGCTGTGCCGGTGAACTCAGCAGTGCGGGGATTGGCTCGAGCAATGAAGACAGCAACTGGGGGCAATGATGAGTTCATTTTCTCAGGACAGGGCTGTTGCTTTGCTGTATCAGAGAAGATGCTGGGACGTGCTAACCGTTGGGGTTTTGTGCATGTTGGGGCGCGGGGGAAGGCATTCTGTGTGGCTTCGCGGGATGTGTGGTCGCTTTTTGTTCTCCGTGGAATAGCAGAGCTTATTGATTCAGACCTCACTGGTTCGTTCTGCTTCCTTTCTTCCGTTACATCAGGCGCATTGGCCTCACTGGTTTCTGGATCATGGGCACTAGCCATGGATAAAGATCAGAAGAAACTAGCTTTGCCCATATCCATCTATGCATTCCTAATCGGTTATTATATGGTATTGCACTCAATCTCACTCCTATTTTTCTCTGTGTTTATCAGTACTAGTGCAACCCAATTGAACTGGCTATGTACTTTTGTCTAAAAGCAGCATATATATGTTGATTTCAACATTTGTATGCCACACCATGATTTTAAGAAGATTTAGTTGATACCATCCTAAGGCTTGCATATTATAGTGTGCATGGGAAACTATTAATTAGTCACCATCAAGCAACCTCCTAGAAATTTTGAATTTATATTGCTTTTAGGGTCTCAGTGGAATCTAGTAATACGCCTACCTCTCCACCGTATTGTTCTAGATTCTTCTGCTATGAGGGAATCAGGGTTACATGAAAGTGAGGTACCATTATCTTCCACATACAAAAAAGGCGAATAGATATTGTTATATATCCACTTGCTTTCATAGATTACCTAGTGTGGATGTTGTTTTGCTGTCTGTATGCCCTTTCTTTCTGATTTCGTTTTCTTGCTTTTTGTGGCAGTGCCGGATGATGATTGCATGGCCACAAGCGTGTGTGGCTGCGTACCATGTCGCATATGCAGAGAACCCACAGAACCCTCAGCTGGGCACGCTGATACCAGATCATCTGCGCGAGCTCCAAGCAATGGCTGCAGATCAAGATCGTCCCAGAGTTATCCATTCTTCTGATGACATTGACAGTTCATAGATTCTTCCATTCTTTCAGTCATTGCCCCCCTGATACCTGGAGGGTAGACACCTCGGCAGCAGACGTAGACACATAGTTGCAGATGCATGCTGATGGTTGAGGCTGCTGGGCTCCTGGCTGGTGCAGACGATAGTGGGTGCTTAGTTCTGTAGATATTGGGCAAGTGGATAGCTGAGAAAAAAAAAGAGAAGTGGTTAGATGATCCAGACAAAAGCTTGTAGAGGTACAGAGTTTAGCAAAACAAACAAAAATACAGAATTAAATACATTGTTTCAGATTTTCCCAGAGCCCGGAGGCGTGTTCTTGCCCTCGCACTGACACACTGAGCGCGGCTGCGATTCCTGTGCTGTGCTTTTTTATCTGCTGACGAGGGTGGCTCTGGTACTTCTCCCGGCCACTGAGATGCGTGCGTCAGGTGGGACTTTCCCAGTAGAATGTAGAAATGTAGAATGCTCATGGCTTCGGAGGAGTTTTTTTGCCAGTAGAATGCTCGTGCCCTTGCTTGCAATTACCAATTATTCTTTCGTTTCCTAATCAACTGTCGTGCACTCGTGCTTGGTAAATAAGGAAGTACCAATGTAGCAGGCAAAAATAGATGGGAAGCAAAAAGATTCCGTTGCCGGGACTCGAACCCGGGTCTCTCGGGTGAGAGCCGAGTATCCTAACCAGCTAGACTACAACGGAATTTGGTGATGTGATTGATATTAATCTTCAAGACTACAGCATTCACATTTGTATACCGTCCTAAAATTATGGACACATCTCTCTATTATCAGTGTGATGAAAGCGAAAACCCATGGAACCCTACATTTGTATGGTAAATATTCAAAACCTCCCCCTTTTACTATCTACTTTTTTCAATATAGTATAGATATACATTCATCCTTTTTCACCCTTATGAACATATGCATGCACACATATCTCTATCTCTATGAGCACCTCTAAGAAAGACCAACCTAACAAATTCTTAGATTGACGAAGTCACCACAAACTTCTCACTCATCAATGGCCATATCGCTTATCAATGAAAGATTAAATCTTAAACTAAATAAATAAAATGTTAGCACCTTAGTCACCCAGGACACACACTTAAACCGTATAGTTGAAGCTCTTTTAATGTGAATGGTACTATTTGCTCGTCACATGTTAATTTGTCACCATCACTTTACTTGGTTGTTCTTCCTATTAAAATGTGATTTCGTTGTCACAAAAAACTATATATATAATGGTGTGGAATCATATATCAAATACAAAGGCGACCATTGTAAACAAGCAAGTGAATTGTCGTTATATATCTCTTGTTATGGAAACCAGGCTTTTACTTGAGATACTATGTTTAGGCTCCGTTTGGCACGGCTCCACTTCACCCATAAAGCTGTTTTTGGGGCTTCAGCTCCATGAACAGCTCTATGGATGGAGCTGTAGCTGTTTTGATAAATCGTTTGGCAAAACAGCTTCACATATAGTTTTTCTTAAAATATGCTCTCAGAGAACGCCATGTAGAATGAGGTGAAGCCGAGAGAAGCCACTATTTTTTGCTCTTTCCCACCCCAAAGCTCTGTGAGAGCACGTTTTTAGGGGCTTCATCGGTGGAGCCGTTTTATTTTACCCCGTTTGGCAGAAAACGGCTCCAAGCGGCTCCTGAAGCCGCTAGAGAAGCCCTGCCAAACGGGGCCTTAGTTAGTAGGTGGGGACTGGGGAGACACAATTCCCTTCATTAGTATTTGATTTGTGTTGCTCCTTATTTTTTTTGTTTCGTTTCTGCAATCCACGTTAGCGATATTATTTATTCCTACTTACCAAGGCTCTATTTGGATGTAGATATTGAAGGCATTGGCATTGAATTGGATACAATACCAAATCAGCCTGGTATTGGAAATGGCTTACAATGCCAAAGCTATTGTTTGGATGTACATAGAATTGACTCGTCTTCTCTCCCCATTTCCACCGCACTACCAGACCCTTCCTGTAACTGCAGAGGAAGAAGGAGAGACCGTCGGAGCCTGGGGAAGAGGAACGCGGAGCTAGGGAAGAGGAGCGCCTGAGCCGGACCAGCAGAGGCGTCGGGCTTAGGGCGCACGTGGAGAGGGGGGCGTCGAGCTTGGGGCGCACACGCAGAGGGAGGCATCAAGCTTGGGGCGCACACGTAGAGGGAGGTGTCGGGGAAACTCGATCGCGGCCACAAGGGAGCTCGACCTCGTCCATGGGGGAGCTCAACCCCGGGCATGGATGCGCCTCCACAACTGCTCGCGCATGCGGAGGAAGAAGGGGTCGCAGGCCATGGAGCAGCTCGAGCACGATCACGTATGCGCGCATCTCCAATTCCGGAGGGTCCGAGCTCTGTATTGCAGGCGACGGGAAGCAGGTGTAGCGAATACCTGTTTGGCATTGAAGTTGGTTTCCAATTCCAAACTCTAAACCATCCAAACAGGGATATTTTGTGCTATCCAATGCCAATGCCAATTCCTGAGCCTCGATGTCTACATCCAAACATAGCCTAATTTTCATATAGCTCGATCATATCCAGGATCTTGTGTAGTATTAAAAATAATGATAAAATTTCATTATGTATATCATACACCTATATAGCGGATTAATCCACCTGGAGTATTGCTCTAGGTTCTTTTTGGCAGGGCTTGAGTTTTTTTTCAAAAACAATGAAATGACAACTTTGGTTTTTTGGCAAAAGAAAAAAGCTTCAGTTTTATTTTATTTTTTTCATTTTGGTTTTGGTTTCAAAAATTGTTCTTGTGTGTGTGCACGTCTAAGACTTTATAAATTTACGAAGCTCCAAATCTCCGTTAAAGAAGGCTTAAATTATTGGAGTCAAATCAAACTCGAAGTCGCTCCTCTATAATTTGATGGATTAAGTCCACTTTTGACCCCTCAATTATTGTGTTGATCTAATTTTAACCATCAACTATAAAATCGTCTAGTACTGGTACCCAACTGTCAAAACCGTTCACTTTTAGCACCTGGGCGGGGACAAGGTTGTTTTGACCGACGTTGAGCGGTTTTGACCACGCGCGGGAGCAGGCCGGCCCAGGAGGGGAGGCCCAGGGCACGCTGCGCATTTTGCATAAGAGACCCTAGATTTTCATGAAACTAACCTTCACTCCATACTACTATTTACATGAGTCGTAACATTTGTATTTACCACCCATAAAAATCTCGTCTTCACCTTTCCCAGACCATGGGTGGCCCCAGAGCAGAGCACGCCACAGGGGGCGACGGCCGGTGGCCAATCCGATCGGGAGGAGGCTCGCCGGCGGCGAGGGAGGGAGGCGCGAGGAGCGCGCAGCCCACGCGCTAGGTCTGCAAGGCCACTGGTGCACAGTTGGGGTAGCGGCGGGGGCAGAGCGCGGCTTCCCACGCAAGCACGGGTTCGCCGACGATGGCGCTTACGTTCCGACGAGACGGCAGCGGTAGAGGTTTAACGGGTAGGTGGATGAGAAATAGGGACTCACTGCGAATGCTTCTGTAGGGTCAGTTACGGGAGAGACGGCTCGAGGAAGCCCGAGGCAGCTGTGTACGAGATGAATTGGGGAGAGATGGATTGGGCACGATGAATTTTGGAAAGGGATGGAGGGACGGGCGGTCGGTCATGGCGATCGTGTTCTCGGCTTTTATAGCCACTCGACAAAGGCGGGGCTAGGGCACACCGGCACTTGCTTGGCATCGAAGAAAGGCCAGAGGGCTGTCCATGGAGGTGCCAACCGGAGGGGTGCGAGGCACGTGGCAGTGGCCGAGCGCGGCACGACAGCGCGGGGAGGCGATGTCGGTGCTGGCGTCGGCGTGGCGAGGCCATAGCGCTTCTTGGCGAGCAAGGCAAGGAGGCGGTTCAGAGACAGGCCAAGGCAGCGCAGGCTTGTGGCAAAAACGACCCAGGGGAGGTGCAAACCGAGCACACGAACAGGGGCTACCACGCCGCCGCCGAGCGAGCGCGCATGAGGGCTGCTGTGGCGTCACCGGGACGCGTCTGCCGGATGCGGCTACGATAGCGGTGCACGAGCAGGGCGGTGGCGCTCGAGTAGCACGACGCGCGTGACGCGCGAGCAGGGCGGCGACGCGAGCAGCACATCTGGTCGGTTGCCGGTGAGCAATGGCCATGCGGGCCCGCCGGCCCTGCCCCACCACACGGCGCTCCACCTCGTCCTCACCCACCAGTCCGTGCGGAGCCCGTCCTGGCTCTCGCCGCTCCCCACGGTGGGAACATCGCCGGCATGGGGGGCGTCGTTGACATGGGGGTGGGCGTCAGGGCCGGCATGGGGGGCGGCGCCGGTGTCGCTTGGGCCAGAGGTGGCGTGGGGCGGGCGTCTCTATGCCGACGGCGTGGGGCGACCGTCGATGGCGTGGGGGCGCTGCCGTGGGGACGAAGAGGGAGGCGTAGTCAAAATCGCTCAACGTCGGTCAAAACAGCCTTGCCCCGTCTAGGTGCTAAAAGTGAATGGTTTTGACAGTTGGGATACCGGTACTAGACGGTTTTGTAGTTGAGGGTTAAAATTAGGCCAACATAATAGTGGAGGGGCCAAAAGTGGACTTAATCCTAATTTGATTAACAGATCCTTTGCACGTCGTCCAAAGCCACGCGCTTGATAGTCAATACGGTAATGCGTGTAACGCCCCAGGTGTTTGTCACTAGTTAAGCAATGGGTTTAAGCACAAACATGGCATGTTAAGTGGTGATGAAGGTGTCAAGATCAAATCTAAAAGAGTGATCTCCAACTTAAACTTGGGCAACACACCTTTGCTTGTATATTGGCCCTTTTCAAATATATACCTAAGTAATGTTGAAGGTGCTTCTTTCATATGCCTCACATCAATTTCCACCCATATGGATGATTGGAAAAGTTTCATGAAGTTTAGAATAAAAAAAGTCACCTGAAATGATAAGTTATATCCTTGTTGGAATAGCCTTATTAAGTGAAGGAGAACATGTGTCATCAACCAAACCTTGCAACCTTGCCCAAATGACTCTAGATGAAATCTACAACAAAAGT